GAACTTTCTGTGCTTATCTTAAGAGCACTAAAATATTGATATTTTATCGAAATATCTCAAACCAACACATATCCTTATAAGGCTGCCACTGCGGAAATTTCGGTTCGGATAACCATCAGCACCAATCAAATAAAATTTTTTCTTCGCTAAAAATTATGTACTCGTATGTATTGTCATTCATTGTTTACGAATATAATATTATAATGCAATTAAAGTCATTTCGTTTTGAGACGTGACGTAAGTCTTGACTTAGTCAGCGAATTTTTGATATTTAAAATTTGAATTTTTCACACAAAAATTGCTGATTTCTTCACTTTTCAACCTCAAAAAAGATTACACTTAATTTCTTATTGTTTAAAAGCCTCTCCATCCTCAAGGTGTAACTGTTTGGACCTTACCGTTTCGAAAATGAATGGATTGCGCTATCGAGAGATGATCAACGAATGATTTATATGACCGGAATTGTATGGTTTTGATCTGGATAACTTTTACTTTCAACAAGACGCCACACAAACAACGAAACCTTCACTCATTTAAGGGAAAAGTTTTCGGACCATATTATCTCTCGAAGAGCTGAGCAATTGGCCACCGAAATCATGTGATTTAACACCTTATAACTTCTTTCTTTGGATCCACGTAAAAAATAAGCCAAACAGGTCAACATTTATTCAAGACCTTAGAGAAGCTATTAAGGGCATACAGTAGCCACTTTGCGATTTGGGATGGAAAATTTCATAAAAAGGATACGGTCATGTAAGCGTAGCCGTGGCGGTCATTTGACTGATATTATTTTCCATTATTAATGGCTTTCTCGATAATTTAGCAGCAAATAATTTCATTTTTCTTTGAATAACACCTGCTATTGGAGAGCACTGTATGTACATATGTATATTCGATCGATTTTTTAATTATTTTCTTTTTTTTTTTAATTTTTTATTACTTTTTTTATTTTTTTTAATACCTTTTTTTTATTTTAAAAGTATTAAAAACTTTTTTTATTTCTCTTATTTGTTTAATTTGTTTTTTTTTTTATTTTTTTAATTTGTTTTTTTTTATTTTTTTAATTTGTTTTTTTTATTTTTTTTATTTTTTTTTTATAATTTTTTTTTATTTCAATTATTTTGTTTTAATTCTTTTGGTTTTTTCATATTACGTTTTTTTAATTTTCTTTTCTAAATTAAATTTAAATTTTTCATTTTTGTTTTACAGTATTTTTTATAATTTTTTTTTATTTCTTTTATTTTGTTTTTATTCTTTTGGTTTTTTAAAATTACTTTTTTTTAATTTTCTTTTTTAAATGAAATTTAAATTTTTCATTTTTGTTTTACAGTATTTTTTTATTCTTTTTTTTTTAATTTTTTTAATTCTTTTATTTGGTGTTTATTCTTTTGGTTTTTTTCAAATTACGTTTTTTTTATTTTCTTTTTTAAATTAAATTTAATTTTTAATTTTTGTTTTACAGTATTTTCTTTCTTTTTTTTATATTTTTTTATTTCTTTTATTTTTCCTTTTTATTATTTTTTTTATTTTTCTTATCATAATTTTTTTTTTAAATTTTTTTTTCATTATTTTTTTTATTAGTTATTTTTTTTTTTTCATTTTTACTTAATGTTTTTTATTATAAAACTATGCGGTTAAAGGTTTTAGGTTGCACTTTATAAAGTTTTCTGATTTTTCTGAGGCAAATTCAAAAAAAAAAAAAAAAACAATTGGCGCACCTACATATCAATATATATATGTTTAACAGACTATCTTCCATGCAAGTTTTTTGCGCATTACAGAAATAATTAATTATATTCACTTTTTAACAGTTTTCTCCTCTTTATCAGCTGGTTTTTACATAGCTAAGAACTTTAATATGTATTTAACCATATCAATATCAAATATCATATTTTACTGTCATTATCAACATTAATATTTTCACTCTCCGAAATATTTATAAATAACATTTAATTTTGTTTGTTTGTACTATATTCGTGCGAGAACTTTCAACACTGGTATTCTCTCATTTTTTCTTTATTATCTACCCTTTTCACCTGTATAAAAAATTCACGTTAATGACAAGCATAGCAGCCGCTTGTGAGTACAAAAGTATATTTAACATTTCTTGTATGTGTGTACATAACTACAAAAGTATATGTATATAAATGTTTGTACATATTTATGAACCTACATTTGTACGAAAAGTAACACAGAGGCGAAAATTGTAGGCAAGAAAGCGGAAAGTGTGCGCACGTTTATTGCATATAGATTGAAAAGCATTAACATTTTTTAACTAAAGTGCATTTTTTGTATAGATATATATGTATGTATATTTTAGGTTGCACTTGTGCTACAACAATTCGTATGTAACTTTTTTTATGACAAATATCTCGAGTTAAAACTAAAAATTGGCAAAATGTCATTTCAATACACATATATACATACATTTGTAAATACATATGCATGTAGTCTGAGAGCTCTATTAAAATGAAATGAAAATTAATTAACAGTGTTCATTCTTTTTATTAAAACATAGTATTCCACGTTAAAAAAAGCACTGTGCACTTTTCCGGTCCATAAACACACCAACACAATCAACGCCATTACGTATTCGCACACACCTGCACATTTAACACAGCGCTGAAGTGTCGGCCATAACAGAGCACTTCTTTTAGCAATTCACATTTCATTTTAAATTGTATTTGTCCTCTAAGAAAATAATGTATTTTTGCTTAAATTTGTTTTTTTTTTCACGTACATAAATACTTTTGTTGTTGTTTAACTTCTTTTTTATTTAGTACCAGTGTGTCTGTGCACAGCAAAGAAACGTTGAAAAATCAATGAATGGCAGTAACAAAAACAACATACCAACTTAAGTGGCAGTCACATAGCAAAGCAGCGACGACGACTGCACAGGCAAAGGCAAAAAGCAGTAGAATTTGTATGTATGTAGGTATTTGGGCACTTAAAGAGAAGAGAGTAAAGTCATCAAAATCAAGTGTTGGCTGATTGTGAGTTTTTTTATTTGTTCAACGTTGTATCTATATAAAATTCTGTTAATATTGATAAAAAAAAGAAACAAAGCTTTTACTGCCCAACACACAGGTTAACCATACGTTGTAAGGTTGTTTTATATAATTAACATTTTGCACATTTTGCAAGTTTTAGCTTATCGCGTTAGGTATTCTACCCCCCACATGAAAACTATGGGAATACATACATATGTATGTACGTATAAAGCCATGGAAGAAACACCCGTGCAATAATAGCAGCAGTACGGCGACGTCAAGGTACGACGTCGACGAAGGCGACTGTAGCTGGTGTTTTTTTTCTGCAGCTACCGCTGCTGCTGCTACTACTACTACTTCTACTGCTTTTCCTGTTGTTGCCATCGTGGTGTAACGTAACTACGGTTAGGAGTGCTCATTTTTGTTTTATTCAATTAAAAATTCTTATATTTTTCTTATGGGAATTTTGCAAATTGCACATACAAACACCATGCATTTGAAATAACATTAATATATAGAGAAATACGTTATTTTAAAAATTGATTAATTTGGATTTGTGCTATTTAATTACATGTAATATGCTGCAGTTTTGCCCGCAAGCGTTGTTTTTTATTGTATTTTATGTTCTTTATGCACAGTTTTTTTTTATTTTCTTTTTTTTCCAACCACTTTTTTGCTTTTTTAACTCAACGTTTATAACACCGCGTCAAATAAACGTTTTTTCACGACGGCGTCAACATAACTAATACGGCCAATTCCATTTACATGTTCGGTATGAACGTTATCCACTTAACTGGGCGTTCCACAGTCCACGCATGTCAAGTCCACAAAATTCTTATTAGCACGAAGTTGGCTTTGATTCCAATTTGACAAAGTCGATTCGCAAAATTCCAATTGGAAAACTTGTATTGTTTTGAATAATTTTGTTTTGTGCTGACATTTGTGTTTGTTTTCTTTTAAGAAATTAGACATATCCGATTGTAAACATAGGGTATTCACAAAAGAAATTCGTTGCAATGTTGAATGAACTCATCCAAAAGGCAGTTTTTTAAACAATTAGAGATAATAAGATTTTAATTTGAATATATATTTTTAAAATTTGGTAATCGCAAAAAGACCGAAATTCAAAAAGGAAAATTTATGTAATTTCGCGTATGTTCTGGAGAGGTAGTTCTTCCACGATACCTTTTTGAAGCCCTCAAACTTTTTCCTATTTTCATAACGTTTTTCTGATGTTGATTTTTACAAGATTTTGACTGTGATGTACAACTTGTTAACCACATAACCATTCATTTCGCAAATTTATCATTTTTACGTCATTTTGTTAAGGGTTTTAGCAAGCTATAACTAAAAAAGAACAACTCTTTAGTTCGTTCGAAGCTGAGGTACGGCTATATTATTTGATATTCAGCCTACTTAACATATTCTCTTGGAGTGGAATGAGGTCCATTCAAACAACGTACCACCGTACAGTGATTGTTGTAGGTTTATGTCCCCAATGTAACTTAGTCATAGACATACTTTACAATTTGTTATGACGGTCGGAACTTTCTACCGGAACAAAGCGAATTTTTATCCGGCCAAGGGCTGTCGTTCCCAAAAATTAGTTTAGAGAATATTTTTGCAATTACAACAACAACATAAGGGACTTACTAACTTTGTAAAAAGCTAGACTTAGCCAGCATTCCATTTTTAGCTAATGAGCTATAATATCTTATATTTTAATTTAAGTCTTAAGATTTGATAATATTTGTGATTTTACTGATTTCGAAGCAGTATCAGCAAAGAACGTGTATATACGTTCTTTGGTATCAGTAGAAATATTACTAAAGTTTCAAAAGTAGCAAAAAAATTCGCTAGAAATTTGCAAATTTTGCTAATGTAAAAAAAATCTTAGAATTAAAAAATTTTTATTGAAGACGCGTTACTTAACACTGACACAAATTCCTTCATTCCAATTTCTTTCCTATTCCATGTTTTCAGGACTGGCAATACCGTAAATGTGAGTAATTTTTTCAGACAGAGAAATTTAGAAAACAATTTGCAATAGAAAATGCTAATTTAAGTACTTAAACTGTTGAAATAAATACAATAGAAATATAACAAGTGCGGCAACAAGGTATATTTAATTAATAAATGTACATATTTTGCAAAAGCAGTAGAATATATACTCTGTGAAATTGGCAGACGTGGGTGAAAATTATTGATTTTCAACATTCGTTAAATTTCGGTGATTTATCTAACCTTGTCCGAAGTAAAAACCAAAATTCAAGCAATTTTCATTATATATTTCTTTTAAAACCGATATAGAAATTGCTGAAAATTGTATAATTAAATTAAAATTATAAAATAAAGTCAAATTGAAGCATTATTGTCTATTCTGGTCAAAGGATTTGTATTTTGTAATGACATCATCAATACAGTACTTATTAGTATTCTTTGCCAATACTTGATTCCATATACATACATTGAAACAAAATGGTATTTTTCAGTTTTCTTTTAGTTCTTTTATTGTTTACAAAAATTTGAAAGTGCCTAATTTTGATTCTACCTACATTGTCACATTATACTTAAATCAAAGTATTAAACATTGTACTACTAGGGTTCTGTTATCTACTTACATACATATGCTATATACATAAAGAAACATATTCAGTTTTTTCTTTACCGAAATTTAGCAAGAACAAAGTAAACTTTTTCATAAATCCCAGAGAGCAAGAAACAATAACTTGCAAAAATGGATCGCAAAGCTGAATTGGAACGTAAAAAGGCCAAATTGGCCGCACTTCGTGAGGAGAAAGATCGCCGTAGGCGTGAAAAGGAGATGAAGGATATGGAAGAGGCTGCTGGACGGATCGGTGGTGGTGTCGGCATCGACAAAGATCAGCGGAAGTAAGTGTTTAAGTCGATGTTTACATAAAAAAAATTTAAATTAAATAAAATAACTTTTTACAATTCTAACGCTCATAGAGATTTAGATGAGATGTTATCCTCACTAGGTGTTGCACCAGTCTCGGAAGTTTTATCTTCCTTGTCATCTGTAAATTCTGTAACATCAGACAACTCCAATACGCAAACTCCGGACGCAAGTTTGCAAGCGAATATGAATGGTGTTGGGTTAGTTATTAGTGAATATTTGAAATATTGATCTTTCCTATTTTATTTCTATATATATTTTTAAATCAAACAGCGTCGCCAAGAAGCAGCCTTTGAATTTGAGCGTTTACAATGTACAAGCAACTAACATTCCACCAAAAGAAACTTTGGTATACTCAAAACAAACGCAAACTACTAGCACCGGAGGACACGAACGTGATGGTGGGTACTTATAAGCTTACAATTTAATTGTATTTGTTTGGTTTTATGGTTTAACGTTATAATAATGTATGTATTTGTTAAACAATATAAATTGCTTATAGTGTACATGTGTGTAGAGTAAGCTAAGTTCTTTGATTACTGGCTTAATAGTTTTAGAGATAAATAATAATTTGCGCAATACATGTTGGAAGAAGCTTAAATTGGGTAATCAAAGAAAGGCTCTTGTTCGCAAAAGCTTTTTTGATTTCCCACTTTTTTGACTACAAGAAACGTGAAATGTGAAAACGCTTTCTCTCTACCCTCTGCATTTCATAATCAACACGACATTTACGAGCTATCACTTCTATTCCATTTAGTTTTCTGATAGAAAATAGCATTATAAGTTAGTGCTTTCCTAAATGTATGTATGAATGCATGCATTTTGCGTTACTAAAAAAAAAAACATATATAGATAAATATATAGATATACATACTTTCAACGCATGTATTTTGCTAGAAAAGCAACTAAGCACAGTATATATTGTGCTTTGATTTGCACGCGGTGCTATATACATATTATATATGATACGTACATACACACTTGCAATATACTTTTATTTAGTAAAAAAAAAAAGAACTTGATCTGAAAATCATAATGAAATTAAATAACAAATACAGTTCTTTCTTGCCACTCCTCACCTCTATCAGGATACATGGAGGATTGGTGGCGGCCACGTAAAGGTACTGGTATTTATTATTTCAGCAAATCGAAAATCTGAAAAATTAAATAATTTTATGAATAATTTGCAAATTTGCTTTATAAAATTTAACTTAATCTTTTAAGCATATGCATTTGGCTATTTATTTCGAATTTTCATGCACATGCCACTCATAAACTTCACCTTTTTTCTGTATGTAAATGATAAATTTTATTTTATTTTAATTTTCTTATACTGTTTTTATTTGACTCCTGCCTATTTTAACTTTAACGGCTTCGTAATTCTAATTTAATATAATTTAAATAAACTTCTTACTATTTTCAATATTTTGCCGAAGATCTCTTACACTAATATGACTCTCATATATTTTTCCATTTTTGTTTCTAGCTCATGCTACGGACTATTATGGTGAGTTGTGCTATAATTATTATTTATTACATAAATTTTATATGCGCATATTTATGTATATATTACATAACTTTCAACTTTCGATTACTTTGTAAAAGTATATATACTCTCTAAAATATTAAAATATATGCACGCTCTTTCTCTCTCTGAATATATGTGTGTCTACGCGTGTATAGTCAGTAACGTTTTTTTTTATATGTATTTAGCGCATAACTATCAAGTATTTTCTTTTATGCAGCTTGATATTTTCCTTATTTGTAAAAGGAATGAGTTTTTCATTTCCAAGTGTGAATAGTTAAGTCGTAGTTGTAGTTAAATAATTTTTGTTTCGTTTTTTTTTTTATTGTCGTTATATAAATTTAACGAATATATTTTGAGACATTTTGCTCCGTTCAAACATTCGTAATATATATTTTTAAGTTTTCGCCTATGTATTCGATTCACATTATAATTTTTTTCTCCACCCATTTTATTATTTCGATGCGGTAAAGCGACAAAAATATTCTTCGTTGTTTATAAGTTGGAAACAAAAAAAATATTGTAGACTTAGTAAGTATTGGATTGTTTGTAAAGGAAAATATTTTCAGTTAGTAATCGGCAAAATAATGCATTCTGTTTCAAAAAGAGTTTGAAAAATATATAAATATGTATATTATATAAATATATATATATATATATATATACAATCATAATGTTAATAATTAATTTGCATACAAATAAATATATGTCAAGTATAGTTTTTAGTTAATTATTTTAAATTTTCCCCACTCAACCCCTCCCGATCATACAAATATATGTTCATTGCAAACAAAAAAGGAAATTGTTAACACTTGCTTTGAGGGCGTTAATTATTCATTATTTTGTGTGTGTGTGTGTGACAAAATGCGGTTGTATATAATTTTATTAAAAAAAAATTTAAAATTTATTTTCCTAAACAAAAAAACGTATGCATGCTAATTTCGTAAACAAATATTTATACATATACATATATGAGTTTCAAATATACATATTTGATTAAATACGCTAAAACTGTAAGAGATACATATATATATTCTTTAGCTAGCGGCCAATCAATACGTTCTGTTTGCTTCCGAAAATGTAATTCAATGTTTTTTTATGCAATAACATACATTATAAATATATACATATATATATATATATATATTTTATATAATTTTAATGAAACGAATACTCTTAATCACTATGTCTGCAACGCATTTTGGTGAAATTCGTAATTTATTAAATTTTGCATCCCTCAACTTAATGATTTTTTTGTTTTTTTTTGTTTATGACAAGCTAAAAAGTTAGTGACAAATAACAAAAAATTGCTTACACCAAACATCTTTCTATATTCTGTATATTTTTCAAGACGAATACAATCTTAATCCGGGTTTAGAATGGGAGGATGAATTTACAGGTAGGTAAACTCTGCGGTAATATATCTTTATAACAGTAGCGGAACGACATGAAGCAAAATAGGAATGTGACAAATTCTCCAAAAAAAAAAAAAAAAAAAAAATAAATAAATAAATAAATGTGAAATTAAAAAAAAGCACTTAAAAAAATATCTAAATAAAAAAGAGTGCAAGCTTAGTAGTTCAATACAAACTATGCTTTTTTTAGCGCATTTCAAGTTGTAAATGTCCGAAATAAGTTAGCTTAATATAATTTTTAAGACCTTGCTAATTATTTGCCAATTAGGAAATTAAATTATTTAATGAAAAAAATTACAACACTCACCATGTGTTAACTGCCAGTGCGAAAAAAAACTTGTATAAATGTGTAAACCCAACCGAAATTCTTCTTTGTGCCTCGCAGTCCACTCTAATTTTCCTCCTGTTTTGTCCCATAGCCCATACGGTCAACATGCTGTATACATATATAACACATTAACCAATATAATTACATACTACGCTTGTCATTAACGTTTGTATATTCGTTCATGCAGTCATTTTAACATTCCCATTATTGTAATATTTATTTTAAAAACACGAAACAACAAATAACACAATGGCGGTTAATTATTGAAATTAATACAAAAAAGAAAAAGGTATAAAATGAAAGAAAAATTAAATTTAAAGTGATAGAAAGGAAAAAAAGTATGAAAAAAATAGAAAAGAAAATATTAAAATTAGTAAGAAAATATCTAAATTCCATTTATTAAAAGGCAAATAAATTAAATTTGTTTGTTATGATTTGTTTATAAGGAAATTAAGAAATGAGATTTATTAAATAACAAATAAATGAAAATCTTTAATATGATTTGTGTATAAATGAAGAAATTAAAAAACTTGAGTTTTTAAATACCAAATAAATTAAATTCTTTAATATGGAAATTAAAAAATATTATTTTCTTAAAAAGCAAATAAGCTAAATTCTTTAAAATGATTTGCTTAAAAATAAGGAAATTAAAAATTATATTTTATTAAAATGCAATTAAATTAAATTCTTTTACATGCCTTGCTTGTAACTTTCAATACGCACCGCTTTTAATTTATTTACTTATTATATAAAACATGTTTATTAAATTGAAAAGGCTAAAAAACTAGTTATTTCATACATAAATGTAAATTCAATTTTTATGCATACTCAATATTTAGCTATTTTCTCATTTCTGTTAACTGTTCAAAATTAAATAACTGTATGGAATTATTAGTTAATAATAATTATTATTTTATTTTTTTTTTAATTATTTTAAATTTTTTTTTCAAATTTTTTATGCAATTTTTTATTAATTTTTTTGTCTAAATTGGCTACA